GTATTATATAGAATATAATAATAAATATATGATGAAAATCCCCTCCCTCCTCCCCCCCCTCCCCAAAAAAAAAAATTTCAAAACCTCAATCCCATTTTTAGAATTTTCTTATACACTTAAGCACCTAAATCTCTTGGGGTGGGCGGGGTGGTAGAATTAATAGTACTTGGGCTTTTGCATGCCTAAATCCCCACAATTTAGTATTTTTCACTTTAAAAAGTTTTAGACAGAGCTACCATTTATATGCAAACACACAAACAGGTATCTACTATACACAGAATATAGCATATAATAGCCATATATTACATATGAAATTAAATATACACACTATAGAAACTATAAACATAAGCTAGTATTTTATATATAAACACACATACATAAAATGTATTAGTGTAGTAGTAGGGTTTGGGGTTTTTTTTTCATTTTCATACATATACACACACACAAACACATAAAAATAGCAGCTTTCAGCCTGTTGCCAGATCTGGGAAGACTGACAAGAGAATTAAAGTTTGGATGGAGTATCTGCTTGCAATCTTTGACTGTATCTCAGATTTTGCTCAAGCCAGCCCTCTGTGGAATCCCAGGCAGGAGGCAGCACCTCCTGGCATTTCAAAATTAAAACGTCAGATTTAGAAGACTGCAGCGAACAGGATTTTGGTTGTAAGACCCGAACTGTGGTATGCACATTCTCTGGCCTTGGATTCCTAAGCAATTTCGTCACTGCCGCAAGTGAAAATTAATCTAAGCCTTGTTCTGACTCACCAGGTAGCTTTTCAACAGCTTAGTGTCAGAACTGTCACACCATTTATAACATTTATAAGGAATGAGTCAACATGTCTAGAGAGAATCAGAGTTATCTAGCTTCCTCTTCTCATAAAGCCAGGACCAATTTAAAAAAAAAAAAAACACTAAAAAGCAAATAAGTGCACTGTCACTAAACTACAGCAATCCTGAAGGAGAAGAAAATAATTAAAATAGCCTCCCATTGACAAAAAAAATTAAGTCACAATTCCCATAAAAACGCGTGTAGAGATGGGACTGAGTACCACTCCATCAGGCAATTTTCAGAGGCTCAAAGAAGAGTCATGAAAGGAGCTGGACTTCTGTCAGTCAAAGTCTGCCAAGTTCACAAATGCTCAAGTGCCACCACCAGTTGTTTCTCCCCATTATATGACTCTGGAAGTTCTTTTACCTTACAGCAATTAAAACTCTGTTGTAAATAAACAACTGAAATCCTGAGCTGACATTTCCCTCTGTTCTTTAGCAATACGCAATCTGCAGAGAAATTATCATTCAAAAAAAATACACAAATACAAATTTAACATATTGTGGTATATAAGGTGAGTATACCAAGTAGTAACTGGTTCAAATACACTAATATCACCTCAAGTGATGTGTGGCACGAAAAATTAACAAGTATTTTTGTCACATCATGTAATAATTACCAAAATACACAATACCAATGAAATTATTCAAAAGTACATGAACTCAGAACAGTCATAAAACAATCATTCCTCGCAGTAAGAATGAAAGCATACCCTGTAATTTGAGTGTGGCAGACAGATAAGTTATCCATACAGTTTTCTGCATGGATATAATCAAAGCATGCAGGCCTTTATATAGATTATATAGATGGCCTAACAATTTAGTAATTGAACCTATTTTTATTACACACAGAACAAAGTGTTAATGCTCTTCCATTTGGGGTCATTAGCAAAATGCTTCCTTGAATTCCCCAGAACAAAATGAAAATTAAATGAAAAAAAAAAATCTCCTTATAGGTCTGTGCTCTTGCTATTCAGCTGTAAAATTTTAACAGAGCTACATATTTTGTGCACTACATTTAAAATCCTTTAGAAGCCACCATGACTGTTTTGAATGCTCGTAATGAAATTTTTAACGCAACAAAAACCCAAGTACAAAGTGCCTGGAAAGCAAGCCAGATTCCAAATCACTTCAAAGAAGAAATTTCCAAAAGGAATTATGTATGACTGATGTGCTCAACAAAGCTGTGAGAAAAGAATAAATTTCACATGCGCACTTCAATTTTACAAGGTTCTCTTAATCTCCCATTTTTCATTTCTATTATTATTATTTATTTCTGTAAGTGCCAGAGACACACAGCTTTTCAAACTATATTATCCACCTTAAATAAATTTTGCTAATTCCTTAAATGTAGTTTCAGGAATGTTGCTTCCTTGCATAATCTCTTTTAACACCATGGAACAATATATTTTGTAGTGTGCACAGAGGAGATTATATGAATATTCAGGTGAATAAAAAGATTTTGTCAGCCTGACCCAAAGCCTCCCAGAATCAGTAGGAAAACTCCACCAGAATTCAGTGAGTTTTCAATCAGCTCAAAACAACAAAAAAATCAGAACACAAGTATCAGGAGGGCTTATGTTTTTGGGGTTTTTTACCTTTCTTCAGCTGCTGGTGACATTCCTCTAGTTTCTGATGAGTCAACTTGAAGTGATTAAGAAAACCATGCAAGCTCTCCTGAATGAAGTTTGGAGGCATGGGCTGAGAGGTGAGTGCCTTGCACGTGGCCTTCAGGTGTTCCAACTGTGGACTCAGGCTTACAAGATGAGTTAACTCCCGCTGTGAAAGATTAAAACCAAAACCAAATCTCACACTTGCCCTGTTAACACAAAGATTTTAGCAAGCTACTGCAGCACAGCTCCTCCACGTTACTAGGGCAACAACATTAAAGTATTCCTGTGACACAGGTACCAAAATCTTCAGGCAAATCTGGCGCCCTGGATGCCTCAGTAATTTTGAGTTACCTTATTACTGATTAGGCTAAGCTCCTCTGGGGTATTCTGTGCTCCTAACAGCTTCCAATCAAAATTAACAAGTTTTGCCAGACTTACCTGACATAAGTCTTTCAGGACTGCTGAGGGCTGGGATGCTGAAGAAGCGTCATTTTTAAGCCAGTTATCCTTCTCAATTACAGTCTTCTCAAGCTCACTCATTTCCTTAAAATAAGCACTTATATCTTCCTGGTACTTTATCTTTCTGGCCACTTCTTCCAGATGTTGAACCACATCTTTCCACCCTGACAATATTTTCTCCATCACACTTTTTATATCCACTGTAGAAAGTCCCTCTAAAAAGATTATATACATTATTGTTAGATTAACTGTAATACATTTTGATTAACAGGCATTTAACCTTTCCCCTTTTCAGATACAGGTGCACATTTGCATTAACATGCAAAATGCTTTGATTCCAAGTCCACTGTCCATAAAACTGTACTTATTACTAACAGTGTTTCACCTTTTTATTTCCACATTAACAGTAAAATGAAGAGTGAGATATTCTACTTCCATTGTTTCCCTTGACAACGTTTGAATTTATAACGATGAGCTGACTCTCGACTATCACGACTCTCTTCACCATCATTTGTGTCTAAATGTTGATATGTGGATTTAAGCAAAATAAGCTTCATTTAAGTAGGCTTCCAGTGAATTTATTTTTTTAAATGATTCCAGACTCCACAAAGAAAAAGGGAAGCAGCAAACTGGAAGGCAGCAATAAAATCACTGAAAAGGTAGATGGAAATCCTGTCAGCCTGGGAGAGAAAGGGAGCAATGGCTAACAATGCCACATTGCATGCAGACATGATTAATAACTAGGTAATATGAATAGCTACAAAAGCAACATGACAAAACATAAGGTTATTTCCCGCTCACAGTGACTACCTGAAGCACTTGCTACACCATCTTTTTGACTAATCAATGCATTACTTGAGGATGCAGCAGCAGAAGTGAACAGACCTCCCACCCGCTCCTTGTTCTTTTATTTCCTCAAGTGCCAGAAGTAACTGACGATTTTGCTATACATGAAGAAATTTCAGCACAATGTGTATTCAACAGTACATTCTTGCCATTGCAAGTTTCTGATGCAGATTCTCTTTCAAGGTACCACCTTCTTTTTATAAGGAATATTTGGGTCATTTGAACTTAACAGTTCTGTCATTTAGATCAGGGTATAAGGAGGAGATTCACACAGAGGGGTCTGTTTGCTGCACCGCTTTAGCATAAGTGGAGCCCAGTGCTCTGGTCTAGGGCAGCCAGCCAGCTTCTACAAGGTCACTTGAAAGTTCTGCTCCACAGATCCTCCCTGCGCTTCACATGCTGGCCATAAACTTGGCACATCTGCAATACAGAAGCACAGCAGCGGCAACCAGCCACATAAGAGGAGCGTGCACACAACAATCAGTCACTGCCATTATGGCACAGCTTGTACATGCCCCAAGATAGAAATGGATGTATACACACACATGCCAGTGCTGTGTATTATTCCACGCAGGTGTAGCTGGGCCTGGTTTTGGAGAGAACGGCTGTCATTCTGAGCTGGACAAAACATACTAGCAGACTCTAACAAAGCCAGAGGCTGTAGATTGGTTATTTTCTACAGATCCCAAAAGTAAAGATGGCAAACAATTAGGAAGCAATTTCTGTATCTTATTTTTTGCTGATACAAACCAGTTTTTGAACTATGCATTTCCCATTATGACCAACAGATACTGGTTTCACAGCCATGACCTGTCACAGCTGAAGGGGTTTATAAAAGAGAAAGAGAGGGAGGGAGGGAGAATCTCTGTCCAGGTTTGAAAACAAGGAACAGGTACAAATTTTCATAACCCAAACTCCAGGTCAAATCAGTGGATTCCAGCCATCAGCTTTAGGGCAATGGCACCCACCGTAAAAAGCTTCAGCTGTAGCAGGCAAGGAGGGGAGGATTGGAGATGCTTAGCAGACTGGGGCATCCAGGCAAAGGGGCTGGGCAGGAAAAAAGTGACGGTTGGGAAATCAAATGGAAATCAGCATTTTCCAAAAGGGATGCTGGTCAGTATGCAGGACAGTAATACCATCCTTTCACCTGTCTGAATGCTACCAGTCATAGCAACTTCACCAGAAGCCAAGTGCATAGCAGATCTAAAAGACTGTCTCTGGATGATACAAACAGCTCTTTTATGGAGAAAGTCACATTTCACTGATGGAGTTTTGTCATATTATGAAACAAGCTTTTGGCAAGGACTAAAGATTCAAGTTTCACTGATGTTAATTATAAGTTTCCAGGGACAAGTGTTTTAATTGACAATCAATCATATTCTCAAGCATGTAGGCTTCTCTCTTGCTTTTTAGCCATAAATTGTGACTGTATCATCAAAACATACTGACAGGTTTTACAGAAATAGAGAAAACTATGCATAAAGACAGATATACAGATTCTATCAAGCCTAAATTTGGTTTCAAAATTTCCACTTTAAGGCAGTTATATTTTAAAATTTTATACTTAAAATCTCCACACAATTTAAAATTAAACCAACTCT